GAGTTTTTGTGACATAGCCTGGAATTTCCTTGTGAATAAGCTAGTTTCTGTCCGCCCTTCTAGGGACCACATTACTAAGGGAGTATAAGCACCCCACAGCAAACCACATCCGAATATTTACAACCACAGAAATTCATTAAAAACATCCACTAACAGTAGTGGAGACTACGATTTCCAAAAGTACACTAATTAGTGCGATGACAAATCATAATTAGTGCGAGACAAATCATACTATGAACAATAATAGCACACTGTGACATCATTAATGTATGGTCACATGATCACAAACCTGGACATACGTTATTTCGCAAATATTACGCTTCATCTGTGGAAGACTCCGTTCGGGGTTGTAGCACGGTCAGCCACACACCAACCATAGCCAAACGCGCTACTTGTCTGAGCCCTCTTAATTCGGTTGTTTCTCTAACTGCGCGTTTGCTGCAGGATTTTGGTACGCAAGTACAGCACCTTCAGGATAGGGCGGGTGAAGTAGTGAGACCGCCCTTCAGTTCCGTCCTCGTGCTTTTTCGAGCGGAGAAATTTGGCACGCTATTGCAGACACGGGCCCATTCACATCGCACATGGCATGGACTGTCCTCATCAAGGCACATCATGGTTGGGGATTTTGCTGAGTCCGTACGAACCCCCTCAGGGGTGGCTTGATACGACCCCCCTAGTCCCCTCCTCATCAAGATGTCCAGCGAGGAGAGGAGAAGTATAAGCGCATGAGAAATGGGAAAATCGGCCTTAGATTTTCTCAACTTCCTGCAACTTTTTCCGGGATTCCCGGAATTTCTTACCAGGAAAGGTCAATAGGTCAGCCTGGCCATTTGCAATGAGATGCACATCACTGTACTCATCTTGACACGGTGAACTCAGAACTGTCTTCAAAATTTGCAGAACGATTCTCTGAGCGGAGTTATGGAGGTTTTTCTTTACTGTGACGCCGGGCGCCGAAGCGGCACATGTAGTGCGGCTCACAGCGCCCTTCGCGCAAAACAGGTATCATATCCGTGTTCTGGGGGGTCAACTAACACCCCAAGCGGCACGCTTAGCGAAATCTAGACTTCTGGATTCAAGCTTGTAGGAAAAAATGGGGTATGGAGCTAACAGTGATGCTACGATACACAACTGGTGTGACTGTCTTCGGACCGTGAAATCAACTGCTTTAGTCATGGCATGCCTTTCGCAAACCAACAGTACCTGGCTTACTTTATTTTGTGCCCTTCTGCATCATTATTCATTGAACTATCGGGAGGAAAATCCGTTCTGAGACGCAGTATCAATAGATGGTAGGATGGTCCAATCTGCTGCTATTACCCACATGGAATAAGCCGCGCATTTTTACAAAGTGAGTCGGAAAATTCAGATTCGGACTAGAACTTGTCCTGCAGGCATTTAACCCCAATACCGGTCATAAAAATATGAGCGAGTATTTCATTGCAAAAACACCTTTGTGACAATGTAGCTTAGACGAAGGGTACAAAGCAGAAAAGCACTCTCTAGCCACAATGGGTACTAAAACTTCTCAGAAAAAAAAACTGATTTTTCCCCTAAAAACATCCCGGTAGTTGCAACTGCGAGCAGAGATGTGTTAGAAGCTCTTGTCGGCTTTATGTTTTTGGACAAAATGCAAAAAGAGCGTGACCTGAGCGCCAGAAACCCATCCGCACGATGTCGCCTAAGAAACCGTTTCCCTACCCGTTGCGCTCTGTGCTACCCCGTGACGACTTTCGTAGACGACTCCATACATAAATGTAAAGACGCTTCCACGTTCCCTCGCGATCGCATGTGAAACGACCATGTGGGGATAAAACCCTCCATAACTCCGTTCAGAGAACTCGTTATGCATTTTGGATAGAGAGTTTCTTGCGCTTCACCCGTGCCCACAGGCGCGGTACGAAGTGGTGCAGCTCATTGGAAATTGGCAGGCCCACACTGATGAACCATCATCCTGGTATCAGACTCTTTTTCCGAAACAGTGGTGCCGGTCCGAGACCGGCGGTATTGGACAACTCGATATCGACAACAGGAAAAATCACGTAAAAATCGGCAGCCTCCTCAACAGGCTAAACAAACAAGCGACCCTCTGCTCCCAAAACAGGAGGCAAATACCCTACGCATCCTGCCCCCCGCCCCCTCTTAATGTCGCCTTAAACAAGATCAATCAAAAACCAAAAAATTTTTTTCTCCGAACAAATACGACCTCCTAATGTGCCCTGGCCCTTACAAGAGTGTACAGATGGTTTTCGAACTGGTAGCCAAGGCTTGAATCATTACTTCAATGGTTGACGTTCCAGGATTGCCTTTTGTAGCTACGGTGATTTAAAGCCACAACCGACATTCACCACATGTGCAGATGCCTTCCTCAGAAAAAGCAGTTCGTTTCGCAAGCATATGCAATGATCGCAGGTGCGCGTGGCAAAGCTGATGCCGCCTAACGTCTACTCCTACACTTATGGTCATTTTTATCCCTACTAGTGCGGCTGCTGCGCTACCAGCTCTTTTCCGAATTGTGAGAATAGGGTGATAAGGGAGAAGGGGAGAGATTTAGATAGGTAAGAAGTCCAGAATGGAGTCATGAGC